CTTCTCTTCCTCTCCTGAGCCCTACTCTGGGCACCTAGAAACACATACACTCCTGAGCAAGCCCAAGGCCTCTCGCTGCCCAAGCCCAATGCCTTCTTTTGGTGGCAGCAGCTCCTGCTTCTCCTTTGGGAACCACCCCCTTTCACTTCAGTGGGTCCAGGGGCTGACACTGTCCCTGGGCTCCAGGATGGCTGTGAGTCCCAGGTGTGGCTGGTTAAGAACCACCAGGGGAAAGTCGGGGCAGTGCACATCACCAGTATGGCCAGACAGCAGCTGTCCTGGGACTTTGGGGGTCCCTGGAATGCCAATGCTCCCCTGCATCTGGGGTTCCTGGCCTGGTGGCCTCCAACACTGTTCTCTAGAGGCCTCTCCATGGAGGGAGCACCTGGTGCAGCCAAGGCAGAGGAGAGCCACACTGAGAGCTGGCAGATGGCTTCCACCTGCTGCTCTCTGAGCGCCTGGATCCAGCCTGGCCTGAAGGTAGAAACTTTTGGTTTCATGAGTCACCAAATGCCCCTCTTTTCCTAAAGCCAGCACAAAATAACATTTTGTAATGTGATGGCCCAGCTTGGCATCCCTCTGTCTTGGGGTGGGGGAGGGGAAGGAAACATTCCTGCTCATGAGAGGGCTCTGTCTTTAATAAAAAATGGGGGGAAAAATGGGGAAGTGAATTAATCATTTAGTAAATAAAAATTAGTTGTTTGTGATGATTGTGGGCTTCCCAGGTGGCGCAGTTGGTAAAGAACTCATCTGCCAATGCAGGAGACCCAAAAGATAAGAGTTCGATCCCTGGGTCGGGAAGATCCCCTGGAAGAGGAAATGGCAACTCACTCCAGTATTTCTGCCTGGAGAATTCCATAGTCAGAGAAGCCTGGTGGGCTGCAGTCCCTAGGGTCATAAAGAGTCAGACATGACTGAGCACACAACACAACAGTTGATTTACAATGTTGTGTCAGTTTCAGGTGTGTAACAAAGTGATTCAAAAATGTCATGATTGTTAGTAGGAAATAATGACTGTTGGTACGTTAAGTGTAACATACCGGCTCTAAGGAAGGAAGGGCAGGATGCCAGGCTTTTGGTCTGTGACATCCTTCCTATCCACAGGTCACCAGGTACTCTGCCCTGGCTTAGATTCCTTCTCCACTAAACAGGGCACCCCACACAGCACCTAGCGTCCGGCCCCCAGGGTGGCAGGCTCTGTGTCCAGAAGAGGTGCCTTGCTGTGGAGCTTGTCAGACACAAATCTCAGAGGGGCACAAAAATATCCTTCAAAAGAGAAAGAAGAAAGACAGGAGAGAAGGGAGAGAGAGGGAGGGTTTGGAGCAAAGGGAGGAGGGGGTGGTAGCGCTGGGCTAAAAATGCATCTGTGACATTCCAGAGTCACCGGCTTCCAAATTCAAACACGTCAAACTGGGTGATCTGTAAACGCTCTGCTTTAAATGCTGGACAGTCCTCAAAGAGCTCAGCAAGCCCTGATTCTGAGCAGAGGTATAGGATAGGGACTGGCCTGCCCTCTGCCTTGGGCTTCAGTTTGGCAGAACCCCAGATTCTCAAGTAGCCACAGGGGTGCGCAGGTGGGTGGACTATTCCTTGCTGGCCCCTCCCTGATGCCCTTCAGGGCCCAGGGCTTCCTGTGTCAGCCGAGGCTCTTCTCTGCCTGGAAATTGTCTGCCCCTCATCCCAGCTCCTCAAACCTATTAATTCATACTAAAGTGTGATGGGCTGACTACTCCAGAGAGGGTAGATGTGCACTTTAACAGAGGACCATCTTTGAATTGAAAGGAGTCAAACTCTAACCCAAGTGTTTCAGACTGCGAGACACCCCAGGTGGGGGAAGGCCGAGGATGGATGGTGTCCGCACACTGTCCTGAGCTCCCGCGGGGCCCTGAGTCAGAAGCCCATGTCACTGAGGATCCCAGATCACTGATGGAAGTCAATATCCCTCAGTCCGAGCTCCTGGATGGAACCCCCATGCTGGGTCAGCAGCTCTGTGGGTCACACGGAGGATTCCTGGGACCAGCGCTTGGTGCTCCCCAGAGGCCACCTATCAGCTATGGACTGCAGACATCCCTCTGTGGTCCTGATGAGCCGGCTGGCCCGACCTCATCAGGGGAAAGCGGCCATGTGGGCCAGCGCCACCATCTGAGGGAGGGGGTCACTACTGGTGGGCCACCCAAGGACACCAGGGGGCAGCTGGCTGAAGGTTAGCACTTGGTGCAACCCTGGCATGGGCAATCAGAGTGGGCCCTCTGCCCCTCCAGGGACGGGAAGAAGGCAGGACCCTGGTGGGGTGGAGCCTCTCCCCCAGGTGGCCCAGTCCCAAAGCCCTCCCTCCAGGGCCAGTGTCAATAGGGATGTGTTTGCACAACCTCCCCCTGCTTCACCCCTTCACTTCCGCCATCAGATAAAACGCAGGAGCTCAGTGCAACCTGGATTTCAGAGTCACAACAAATAATCTGGTGGCTAAATACTGCATTCTTTGTTGCAAGTCTGAAATTCAAATCTCCCCGAGGTGGTGACCCTCCCTGTGTTTGTGGACAATGTGGGGGAGGAGCTGAGCTCTGAGGATCCATCCAGCTCTTTGGAAGCTATGGGAAGGGCCTGGGGCTGGGCGGGTGAATGGCCGGTGGCTGCCTGTGGCCCGAACCCCTGGGCTTGGCCAGGGACGGTATGCCAGCATCTTGGGGGCATGGCCCTCTAGACTCTAAGGCTTGCTCTGTCCTTGGCCATGGGTCCCAGAAGATCCCACATGGGGAAGGGGCTGTGTACCCAGGGTGGGGCTGAAATGAGCAAGTTTTAAGACCTCAGGCCAGACCACGGGTGCCCCTACTCTGTTGGACCTTATAGATGCGTCCCAGGTATATAGATAATAAAACTAGGCAATAGGGGTGGGTGACAGGCATATCCCAGTGCCTGCGATAGCCCAGTGCCAAGTGTAGTGGGTTCCATGGGCTGGGCAGCCCACCCAGACCACAGTGAGGTAGAAAGCCTGCCCCTCACCCCCACCTCCATTCCAAGACCATAGCAGAAAGTGGAGACATCTCCTGGTTCTGGAAAAATACCGACCCATTGGTGCCTGGCTACTTCTGACAAGAAAAATTTTTTCTCCAGAGAATTAAAGGTTTGCAAGACAGAGACCCCTCCAGATGCCCCTCTTTGGGTACTCACACTCCTATAAGCAGCTCTGGCTCCACCCAACGCCTGAGTGTCCCCTCTGCCCTGTTGCCCTTTCACTAGAGGAGATACCCTGGCCCTGGTGGGCGTGAGCATTAGAGCCACCCTGTGATGAGACGGATGGTGTCAACAGTGCCTAGCGCTTGCTCACCTGCACGTGTGTGCATGTAACTGCATGTGTGCACACAGTGCGTGTGCTTCATTCTGTGTATTTACTGTGGTCAAATATATGTAAAACTTACCCTTTTAACCATTTTAAGTGCACAGCTCAGTGGCCTTAGGCACACTCAGTCATGCAACCATCCCCAACATCCACCTCCAGAACTTTCTCACCTTCCCAGACTCGAGTCCACCCATCAAACCCCAAGTTCTGTGCGACTTCGTCACGTGATGAAATGACCAGGCATCTCACGTGCTTTCAGAGCCACAGCCACCTCTCCACCCCCAAGCCTGACCACCACTGACCCGTCTGGACAGAACCCTCAGGGGTGGTGCCCGCCTCTCCGTGACCTTTGAATGCCCCCCCTCCACCATCTGCAAACACACTGGTGTGTACCTCCACATACATGTTTTACCCAAACTACTAAGGGCCCAGCAAGTCTGTCCTCCTGCCTCTGGTGTCCTGGCCCTGGGATGCAATGCAAACCAGTGAGCTGTGCCTCAAAGAGCCATGTGGCGGCTGATTAATATACCAGGGGCCACATGCCTGAGACAGGCCAGCACGGCCCAGGGCATGGCCGTGTAGGTGAGGCTGACTTTGATCAGATGGTTGAGGGGCCACCAGCTGGGGGGCACTCATAGCGAGTCTGAGGAAGGGCATTGGCAGCACAGAAGCCTGGTTTCCCAGAGGATCCTTACTGGAGGGTCCCTAGTGTTGCAAGGAAACAGCTGGAGTGGTGGGGCAGGGGGCCCAGGGCGAGTCAGGCCAGGCACGGGAGTGGGTCGCCAAGTAGGGGTGGGGCAAGGATCTGTGCATGCAAGGATGGGGCTGCGTACGCTGCTGCCTGGGGTGATGAGGGGGCGTTAGCTGGGTATGAAACAGGGTGCTGACGGGGCTGAAGAGGACCCCAAATTCACATTAGCTGGAAACTCACAATATGACCCAATTTGGAAACAGGGTCTTTACAGATGAATTGAGAGTAAAACAAGGGAGAAGAGAACAGGGAGGCGGCAGCCACCCTGGCCCAGGAGGCGCTGAGCCCACTGTCATTCATGGGGGAACAGAAGGCTAAGGAAGTGGAGAGAAGACCTCCGGGGAGGCTGGTGGCTGAGCTCCGGGGAGATGGAACCAGTGGGTAGGGACACCGAACAGACACCACTCAGAGGAGGGAGAAAGCCGTGGGAAAACCCAGGGCCCCACAGCCCATGCCCCGACGCAGATCCAAGGAGGGTACAGGGAGTAAGTGTAAGAAAGCAAAAGTCCCTGTTCAGGACCAGAGATCAACAGGTGATGCTCCAGGCTGATCAAGGTAGTTAGAGCTGCTCAGACTTCAGAGCAGATCATTCAGCAAAATGGCCAGAAGAGGCAGGTCTGGGGAGCTGGGGCGGGGGCTCTGGCTTGGCATCCACTTGGTCTTTTAAATGTCTTTAAAAGCAACCTAAATGCACTGGATGTCTGCCACCGCACACTTGCTCATTCCACAAATGTATTGGTGCCCCTGAGGGTGAGGTCCTGAGGCTCTGGGGGACACAGCGAGAACTGGACAAGCCCCCGCCCCTGCAGTGGGGCCCCTGGCGGGTCAGCCACACGGGCATCTTGAGCGTCTCCGCCTCTGAAGAATGAGCGTGGCGGGGGCCCTGTGAGCAAGATGAAAGGCCGTTGATAATTAAACGCTACTCAGACCTGGCTTTACTCTTTGTGGTGGCCTGAGAGAACAAATAGATGCAAAATCCATCTCTGGTTTCCAGAACACAAGGACCTCTGAAATTACAAGACATTAAAATAAAGCTTCGGGTAAAGAACTCTTGTTCTTGTTGCAGATTTGATGTCAGATCAAAACGGAATTGCTCCTGAAAGCTGAGGCACTGGCTTATTGTTTGAGGTCTGCCCAGCCCCCATCATGCAGAAACAACGCGGGTCTGAGTGATCCAGAGGCTCAGATGCCTTGAGACCCTGAGGCCAACTCCCAGAGGGCCTGTTCCCCTGCCCCCCCTCACCCCTCAGGGACACGTCAGGGGAATCAGACTTTAGCGGGGGAAATAGAAGTTTAAGACCACCTTGCTCGATGCATGGGCTTGTCTTCATTAGGGCATCTGCAGTTGGGGGACCCTGAGGTGTGGGTACAGCTCCCAGTGACACCTAGAAATACAGACCTGTCCCTGACCACCCTGGGGCTCAGGCTGCCGACACCCTGCCTGCAGACCGCAGTTAATAACCCACCATGAGGCCCAGGTCGGATATTGGGAGCATTCAGTCGTGAAGCTCAGCTTCCACAGAGCACAGCACCGTCTGGGATGACAGGGCGGACGTCGCCCTCACTGAGTTCCTGTTCCTTCACAGCTGGGCACCTGCAAACGCTTCCCTGCCCCCTGCCTCACGCAGCAGACGGAGCATCCCTGTGAAAGAGTGTCAACAGCTGTGGCATCAGAGGCCCACCTCTGCCTCATCTGCCACCACCTACGAGTCAGCGCTGCTGACGCTGGCTCCTGTCCACGTGCCCGTCTGGTGACGTCAGCTACCATGTAGTCCCTGCTATTAATAATTAGGGGCCAATTAACACAGATGAGCCCATTGCAGCGCGTCACTCACACGCAGGCAGGCATGGAAGCACTGGGGACAGACTGGCAGGGGCAGGAGTGTCCACTGCCCAAGGGGTCCTGTCCCGGGGCAGGGGGTGTGTTGGCTGGGAGCCCCAGGTTGGCAGGAAGGCCCCTGCACCAAGGCCTCCTGATTCCTTGGGGTTCCTTCCTCATCTCCAGTCACAGCTGGCCTGCCGGGCGCCGCCTTCTCTGCTACCACCGCAGCGGCTGGCGGCCATGCTCCAGCTCGGTGGCCACGTGGCGGTCGTGCAGTTCCTTCAGACGCAGCAGCAGCTCCTCCAGGTTTTCCCCGGTGGCCGCCGACAGGGCGATGGCCTCCTGGCCCAGGCGGGCCTGCAGCTGGGGCAGCCGGGCCCTGGCCTGCGGGAGGTCGATCTTGTTTGCCACGACGGCGTAGGGTCTCTTGGACAGGCCTTCGTCGTATTGCTCCAGCTCATACCTCAGGTCGTCCAGCTGAGTCCAGGGCTCTGGCACCGAGAGGTCTACCAGGAACAAGAGGAAGGGGCAGCGCTCGACGTGCCTGAGGAAGGCCAGGCCCAGGCCCCGGTTTTGGTGGGCACCCCGGATGATGCCGGGGATGTCAGCCACTGTGGAGGAGACAAGCAGACAGTCAGGAGGGGAGCCCGGGGCCTCTGAGCACTGAGACTTTCCTTCCAAGGAATATCTCATGAGGGAAGTCGTTCAATTTTCCGCCTTGCTGATTCACCAGGCCGATTCCATCTGAAGCAATGCAGCTTGCAGTCTTGCTAATGCTTTGAAATATTTGGGTGACTGGCATGACGACAGATCAGTCTAATAAGAACTACTTAACACATTCCAATCTCTCTGGCTTCAAAAGTGATTCAAAAAAGGGGAAAACGGCTTCCTGTAATCTATTAATAATTTGATTACTGATAGAAATTATGATAGAGCCCTCTGCAAATATAAAGTGCTATACAAACCACGTTGCCAGCAGGCTTACTATTTTTAATGGGTACATTATCTTCTGGAAAAAGTTTTCTCCTCTCAAAATGGTACAGGAAAAGCTTTTAAAATCACATGTAGTCCACATGACTGATGCTGCCGAATTCCCCGTAGATGGAAGAGAAGAATAGAGGCGGTGAAAAGGAGTAATTTCCTCAGGTTTGAAATTTAAACTCAAATTCCTGAACTGCCACTAACAGATGCCTGGGGGAGGGGGTGGGAAGCAAATCTAAACTGATTTTGATAAAGAACTATAATTTTTAAATGAACAAAAAACAAGTATGCATGTAAGTTACATAAGCATGGCTCTGAACTCCACCATCACCCACTCCTCTGAGAGGTCCTACCTGCTATCTGCTGGTGGTCTTCATAGTGAACAATCCCCACATGGGGGTTCAGGGTTGTGAATGGGTAGGAGGCCACAGCAGGCCTTGCATTTGAAATGGCCCGGAGAAGCGAGGACTTCCCTGCATTGGGGAATCCAACCTGGAAGACAGTGAAAACTATCACCACAGAGTCTATAACTGGCTGGGGTCAGGGTGTCTCAGGTGCGGAACAGGGGACAAGCAAGAGCAGGGCTCCTGATGAAGCCAAGAGGATCTGACAGGAGGAAGCGGGTTGCCTGGCCACCACGATGCACAGACACCCACCAGTCCAGCGTGTGCCACTGTCTTGAGCTCTAGGAAGAGGACGCGCTCCTGGCCTGGCTGTCCGGGGGTGCAAGTCGTGGGCGCACGGTTGTCGTTAGCCAGGAAGAAGCGGTTACCCTTTCCCCCTGACCCGCCCACTGCTGCGATGAACTCGTCTCCTGGGCGCGAGAGGTCAGCCAGGACTTCATTTCCCTCCTTCACCAAAGTGCCCACGGGGACCTGAAACACAACAAAGCGCTTTTAGGGGCTGGGAGGGAGCGGGGGCAGGAGGAGAACGGGACAACAGACGATGAGATGGCTGGATGGCATCACCGACTCGATGGACACGAGTTTGAGTAAACTCCGGGAGTCGGTGATGGACAGGGAGGCCTGGCGTGCTGCGAATCATGGGGTTGCAAAGAGTCGGACACTACTGAGCGACTGAACTGAGCTGAACTGAAGAGAAGGGGGTACTTCCAAGCTCCCAGAGGGAGCAGGGCCCGCAGGGGTCTGCGGGGCAGGCTGCACAATGGCTTCTCCCATTAGCACTTCTGTTGCATCAGGGTGAGCAGAGCATCTGCAAATGAGAGCGATGCTGAGGGCATGAACCCACAGCTCACATGGAGATGCCCCAGTGGGGTAGGGCAGGGGAGGCTGTGGGGCTGCGGATAGGGACTGTGGACCTCTGGGTCCCCTCGCTGGAAGACAGAATCGTCTCGTGACTGTGAACAGGTCACAGGTGCACATGGTATGAAATCGGCCAAAAAAAAAGGAAATCAACAGAGTCCCCGTCTGGGGTTGCTCCATGGAAGACGGGCCCCTCTGGACCCCTTGAAGAACCTGGGAACCCGACGGCCCACAGGGTGGACAGGGGACTCTGTGCCTGGCCTACCCGAATGTAGAGGATGGAGCCATTCCGCCCAAAGCAGTTCTTCCTGCCGCCATCCTCGCCGTCAAACCCCTGGTACCGCGAGAGGACAGAGGACAGAGACTTGACATGCTGGTCAACTGGAAGTCAAAGCGGGAAGCGTCACCGCCCTTTGTGTTAAAGGCAGACCTGTCTCATTTCATCAAGTTTCTCTTGTTCAGATTAAGAATGCAGATGGGATAAGTTATGGCAAAAGTTACCAAACAAGCAATGAGACTTTTTGAAAAAGCTAAATTCTTATTTTCTTTTAAAAAATACTACAGTTTCCCCAAAATTCACAACTACCCATAATATCATTGTGAGTTTGAAAATAGCTGTACTTTATTATTATGTTGTAAATGGCTACTAACTCTAAGTGGACTAGTTAGCTAGGCCTTTGTGCTCCATGTGTGTAGGGGTGATCAACACCCTTTCAGCACTTGACTGAGATAGTAACAGTAACAGATTTAACCCTTGGACATATGGTACCAGAATGTGAGATTCCCTGATAGTCTTTATGTTCCTGAAATGTTAAAAAAACAACAAACCATCAAAGCTGGTTTGAAAGCTGGTTTGGGGTGAAATATCTAAATGTGAGCATCCACATAATTTAATAAAATGATGTCCACACATCGGTTTTGAATTCAAATTCCTGTTAGGGCAAGAAGGTGCAAACTCCCCATCCAGAGATAGCAGACACAGTGAACTCCCCCAGCTGCCCAAGGGCACCTGCCTCTCAGGATGACATGGCCCCCGTTGCCTCCATCACCGCCATCAGGGCCTCCAAACTCCTTCCGGGGTTCGCTGTGAAAGCAGCTCACCCCATTGCCTCCGCGTCCCCCTCGGACAAGCACTCGGCGATGATCCACAAAATGCCGTTTCTGCAGAGAGCACAGGGTGCCCTGATTGGTATTAACTCCGCAGTCCTTGCAAGGACCAAGTAGCCATTTGAAAGGTACCTTTTCTACCTAGGAAGAGCTTTAAAATTAGATGCTAATGATACTAACATTGCTAATCTCTCCTAAAATGCAAATATAAGAAAGAGTTACCAGAAGTCACTGCTATTTATAGGCAAATGGAAATCAAGGACGCAGATGTAAAGAGTGGTCAGCGTGGAATACACACCCCAGAAACAAACGCGACACTAACCACCTAAACACAGCACAGCATAGGAGACACTCCTTAAATAAAGTGTCTTCCTAGATTTTTTCAAATAGAAACACACTACTGAAATAACAGACCTTTACTAATGAAGTTTCTGTTTTTCAGCACAAGACACTGAGAGGGACACTCCCTGGACCACTGCCAGGCTTCCCGCTAAGACCAGAAGTCTTCTCTGGCCAACTGAGTAGGTCCACATTTTTAAACGTGGTGATGCAAACAGAGCTCTAATCTGTGAGCAAGTTCTTCTCCAGGTCCCCAAGGAAGCTACAACCGACCTAAAGAATTAGACTAACCAACCAGGCTAATGTTTAATAAATGTTCACTTGCACAAGATGTCCAGTTGCCCGAGGTGCCAGGGTGCAAGTTGGGGCTACCACCCCAGCCCAGCTGCCCTGTCCCAAGAAGCCTGCCTGCTTCCCACAGGAGCGCACAAGCAGATGTGGCCACCCACACAGTCCCTCCGTGGGGACCAAGGCATCTGCATTTTCATAAGCAGATCTTTTTTTAAAAAAGGAAAACACACAAATATGTTATGATGCTCTGGCACCACCACATGGAAAAACCATGAATTACTATTCAAAAACACAATGCATAATTTTGAACATGATGGAAAGCAACCTGATGGGAAAAAAGCACAACTGATGAGCACTGTACAGAAGATAAAACTCAGAGTCAATGTTTACATTCTAGGGAGGAGACATAACCAATGAAAACCTGATACATCTGAGGACACTTGCTGACTGCCAAAGTAATTTTTCCATAGGAAGTACTCTGCCCTAATGAGCCTCATGTGGAACCCCCTACCTAGGAGAAAACAAAGTGGTCTTAAACATGTACTTTCTTCACTTTGATTAAAGATCATTCATATTTTAAGTAGGTATAGAAGAACAAAAAAGTGTGAGACTTTGAGAACTATAAAACTAAACGTCTATGCGTCCCCCTCCAATGATATAAATTAAGACCTATTCACACATATTTCAGAATATGAAAGTGAAAAGTGAAAGTGCTAGTCACACAGTTGTGTCTGACTCTCTGTGACCCCATGGACTGTAGCCTGCCAGGTTCTCCTGTCCATGGAATTCTCCAGGCAAGAATACTGGAGTGGGTAGCCGTTCTCTTCTCCACGGATTTAAGAATATATATAATACTTATCTCAGACACATAGGCTAGTGATACAGGGGTCTGGGCGCCCTCCGGGTGAAGGGAGAGAACACCCAGAAGGGTCATCACTTCTAGCACACTGGGCACCACCTTGGGGCTGCCACAGTTTTGGCCAGCAAGGTACTTGGTATCCACAGGCCTTCATCTCACGTCCTCATTTCAAGGATAAATGAAGACACGGTAATGGGAGCTCAAAACTACACCCTGTGACTTCCGATGAGGAAACTGGAGGCAAATCCCTTCAGGGTTTCTAGAAGTCTCACCAGTTTTTTCTCCGAGAGTGGCTGCTTCCTGGGGGGTTCCTGGTGCTTGCTGCAGTCTGCACAGCTGACTGAGAGCAGCCTGGGAGAAGTGCGCAGCAGAAGGCGGTGGCTGGGTCCAGGAACCATGCGGGCTGCCAGCGTCCAGCACCCCACACCCTCCAACACCGCCTGGGGTCTCACTGAGAAAAGCCTCGAAGGTATCATGACTCCTTAACAAAAGGCAAACTGGCAAAATAAGACAGCTGGTTTAAACCTGAACATGAAACTAAAGAAGTGGGGGCGCCTGGGCCAGAAAAATCCTGATATATGTTTCTGAAATAAATGAGCGCACGAAAGAAGTTCTCACCTCACTCGCTACTTTCCACCCCAGTCAGGCCCTCTTAGCCCATATGCCACTTGGAAGGAGCTGCCCGGAAGCCTAGTGGTTAGAATTCTGGGCTCTTACTGCCAGAAGCCTAGGTTCACTTTGTGGCCGGCGAACTGAGAGCCCGTAAGTCTCGAGGCCAAAAAACGCTCCCCAAACAAACCCATTTGTTTCTTACAACCCTATGAGGGGTAACACCACATGTTGGATTTTTCCCATTTGCTTTTCGAGACTCTTTTCCCACCCTGCTGTTTCAAGAGAATACCCTGCAGGACCACCCTCATTGCCTTGCTGTTGGGCAGAGACTGGAGAGAGTAGCAGAACAGCTGGATACTGATTGAAGGCTGCACCGACAGCCAAGGAGCCCATGTTATGCTCCTCTGTCCTGGTCCTTCTCCTTACCCTGCGGGTGTCCAGGAGCCGAAGCAACTCCACTGTCACCAGCTCCAGATAAAAACACCAACTCTGCTGTTTCCCTGAATGCTCCCCTTCAAATGGGGGCCTTTACACCCTCCTTAAATTGTCCTCAAGAGACTGTGCCAGGATTTCGGACTCCTACATTTTGCACGCCCATTTTATTTTCTTTTTCATTTATTTTTATTAGTTGGAGACTAATTACTTTACAATATTGTAGTGGTTTTTTGTCATACATTGACATGAATCAGCCGTGGATTTACATGTATTCCCCATCCCGATCCTCCCCTCCCACCTCCCTCTCTACCCGATCCCTCTGGGTCTTCCCAGTGCACCATGCACGCCCATTTTAAAGCAGTGAAGGCTGAGACTCAAGAGAAGCTGTCATTTACCCACGTCACATAGTGTCCTCGCTGCACCAGTGATTCACAGCAGTGTTCTTCAAATGCGGGACACACACGCGACCACCGTCCAGTGCACCAAGGCAAGGGTCATTTTTAAAGAATCAATATCGTGTTCCTTAACTCTGAACGTTTCCTTTGCTAAAATCTATCTGCCTGAGAACTATTTTAAAAGCGTCTTCTCCTTTCCGCTGGTGTCTCGAGAAGGGTCCTCCACAGAAGGAAGCCCCCTCCTGATAGGCCGGCGAGCAAGACGGACCGGGGTGCCCGACCAGGACGAGTCTGGGAAGTCCAGCCTGCCCCGAGCTGCCCTCAGAGCAGGACGCTGCTTCTGCAGAACTGTTTACCACGTGTGTTCACGCTTACACTGTTCTGTACGACCGCGCCACCCCAAGTACAGAACACCACCCGTGAGGACCTCGGCCCGAGGGCGTCTCCGGGCTGCCGGAGCGCGCCCACGCGGGCTGAACGGAAGCAGCCAGCCCGTACCGGGGACTCGAGGGCGCGCTCGGTCCCACGCCCGCCCCCTACCCTCTCCCACGAGTACCCGGACGCTACCCACACTCACCACCCCAGGTGGGCACGTCACTTCCGGTGCCGCCTCCAGGGGTCACTTCCGGGACCGGCCCCGCCTGCGCAGGGTTCCCCAGCGCGCATGTGCGGGAGGGGGAAGGGCTACGGGCGTCCGGACGGAGCCGACGAGGGTTTCCAGCGAGTGGGCGGGCGTTTCCTTTGAACCCCGGGACTCCGAGATCCCGGGCCGGGCAACCCTCTCCCACCGCGGCTTCCGGCTCCCCATCACCTCACTAAAACTCAGTCTTCAGGTCGATTCTCGAAGAGCCAGTTTATTAATCACACCAAAGGCATAAAACAACTTAAGACGCCAAAGTCCGACTGAAGAGAGAAACGGCGGATGAGGACGGTTGTCCCAGGACGGCCTGTGCTCGCGAACGAGACGGGGCTATCTGCCCGGTCACGGCCGGACGGTCAGACGCCCACTTCTGGCTCCGAGGCTGAGCGGCCGCCGGCGCTCAGCGACCGCCGAGGCGAGGCTCCGGCTGGGCGCGGGAGAGATGCTCGGCCGGCCGGGCCGGGCCGGGCCGGGCCGGAGGTGCAGAGTCCAGACGCGGCCGGGGCGGAATCACCGCCCGGCCTCCCGCACCTCAGCCGGGAGACCAGGAGGCACCGACCACGCCGCGCGGACGACTCGCTTCGGCCTGAGCTTCCGCAGACAGAAGAGACACAAGAGAGTGACGAGCCGCTGGCATCACTCCCCATATTACATAAAAATGGACGGCACGTTAAATAAACATTTTGTTATTAATCATTAAATATATTAACACCAACAATCATGTATAAATTAGGAAATAAATGTACAAACTATTTCACAAAGTGCTTTTTAAAATATATACAACAACATTCAAGAAATTCTTAATGTAAGACATTTCAGATTGAAGTTTTGGGATAAGTTTTTTTCAAGTGTCCTTTTCCTTCAAAAGTATTAATACAGCACTTAAAAAAAAACACACACACGAAAGGCATATTCCCATATTGGCAAAGAATAAAAATAAACTATTTTCACAGTTCTCTGAAATGTTTTAACATTTTCAACGGGAAATTTTAATCCCCGATTGAGTCTGCAAATTACCTCTATGAAAATTGTCAGGAAAGAACAGAACAAAATGAAGGGAAATGACTCCCTAAATTGAAATTGCTAATGTCTGTGTCATTTAGCAATTAAGGGCTCTCACTTCAGTAATTTAATATAGAGGTGTATTTTTTAAGCCCTTACTAGTGTCAAGGGTTTCTAAAACCCAAAAGTCTACAAAATAAACACATATCCCACTGTCCGTGTGATTCTGTCTCCACAGAAGAGGGCAGAATGTCCTACAACAGGACTTCTACTGGATCCCAGCTGTCCCTTCAATGAGCCCTGGTGCTTCATCTGTAAAACAGCAACAGTAACTGTCTCCATGTTCCCAGTGGGGACGGAATTCATTCCGCTAGAAACACATTAAAAATGTCTTGTAGACTGCAAAGCATCCAATTATGGATAAGATACTACTTTAAAATTTTAAAACATAAGACTTCACTAAAACATCACCTTCAGTAGACTTGAGATATCAAGAATTGGATTTTTTTTTTTCTTGGTTCTTGGAAATATGTCAGCATTTACCCAAAGATGTTTTTAAAGGGGCCATAATAAATATGGGTATTATTATCCAAGTAAAGGTTGATAAAATGTCTGTATGACTTACCAGTGAAATGTAGAATTTTTCCTTTGACTTGACTTTTCCACATGAGCTATCTTTAACATTTGTGCAGAATTTAAATGGCATCTAATGTCCTAGGAATGTAAAAATGACTCAAATTTCTCTACGTAAGAGCTTTCCTTCTCTTTAAGAAGAACACAGTAAAATCAGTGGTGTTCTCTTTAAAAATAAAATGTGAATTTCAGATATTCCTAAATGAAAAGGAATGCTTGCTTGGAGATTTGAATAAGCAGGTCCCAGAAGAAGTAGTATAAAATAACTTGTCAACTCTTTGGAGAATTTGGTGTCACTATTTTAAATTATGAATTTAGAATTGAGCATATTACACATTAAAATTCCAGAAACAGCCATCTGATAAACAAGGGTCAAACCCAAAGTAATTCCAGAGGACTACCCTCTCCTTCCTTCAGTAATACAGCTTTCCCTGGGTGAGGCTGATCACAGTTGCCTTCTTGGATTCCTACTTATTTGGAACAAAGTCATTGATCCCTCTTTACTTTGTAATACAAAAATGTGTAACTTTTTGGATAAACAGAACCTGTGAGAGACACAGGTAAGGAGCCAGCTCTGGAAATAAAGGTTCACAGCCTCTCCAAGTGAAGCTTATTTATCCTTTCCATTGGGTAACAGAGACTGATGCAAACCACAGAAAATGCCTCCCCTACCTCCCCCGCATTGAGGCCCAGGAAGAGGCTGCCAGCCAGGGGCAGTGCAGCCAGTGAGAGACAAGTTTAAGACCCCCAGTACAAGCATGAGATGAGAATCAGACCTCAGGTCTGTTCATAACAGCACGCGGACTGTGGCCTCTGGTAGGTCTGTCCCATCACTGGGCACAGAAGACTCCAATGACAAAAGGACCCCTAAAGCTAGCTAGAAACATGGAGGGGGGGACAAAAAGGGACAACCTCTCCGTTGTATGAACATACAATACTATACACAGCACCAAATATGTCACACCATCAAAGCGCCATCTGGCACCAGCGTGCACGCTCGGTGTCCTACCCCGCATGAAATGTGCGCGCTTCACAAGCAGACGCTGCGTGAGGCAAGGGGCAGCCTACAGGTCACAGCCCCTCAGAACTGTCACTGGCCTGTCCATCCTGGGTGGATATGCCGCCTCAGGATTCCTCACAGATGTGGGTCCTTCACTGCTGGTAATTTCCGTACTGGCCCTGCAAGAGAGCAAGACACAGATTATACTCCAACAGGTCTGCGTGAGAGGGTCCACACCTGAGGATGAGACAGATCCCACCCCAGCCCACACCCAGGATGAGAGGTGAACGGGGCATGGTTGGCCAGCGACCAAATGCCTCAGCCTGTTTCCATGAGGCAGGTGGATAGCTGATGTTCTGGAAGCCACCATCCAGGCTGAGATGACTGACTTAGGTCAGTGTATGGAAGAGGCTGGTTCATGTGGTCACACAGTAGCTGACCACGCTGCACCTGGGCCAGGTACCCCCGACACATCCCCACCGGACCCTGCTGTGAGCAGGTTTGGGACGGGCTCCCCAGGCACACTCCCCTTGGCACCACTTCCCACACGCTCACTGGAATGTTCCAAAAGCCAATAAGGTTTGCTCCCCTAATGACTCTGCCCTGGGCTTGTTTACTTCCTGTTGAAAACTCATTCTCTACATATAACTGACTCATTCTGTATCTCTCTTTAGGGAGCAGGGTGAGAAGTATTTAAATAATGAAATACAGGACCTTACCTATTCAGGTACCAAGAGAAAAACATTCCTAATCCACACAGTGCCTTAAGGTTTTATTAGCCATGTAAACGGTCGTTAGTGCCTCTGACCTACCACATAGTCACTGATGGATAGTCACCTCTTGCCCGGGACCGTCCTCCAAGGAGACTCCAGAGTGCCCAGGACCCGTCTCCTCCCGCCTACTGCCTTGCTCCTGCCCTAGACAGGTCCGACTGTGACAGGCAAGATGCAAGCTCTACAATCTGCCCAGGTGCCATAACCTGCAGGCACGCCACAGACACTGACGCTACCAGGCATGAGGGAAACATCCGAGGTGTGAACGGACGAGACTCCAGGTGAGTTTAGGACACAAAGAGCCAGCTGTGTCTGACCGAAGTGGCAATTTTTAAAATCCTTACAGGCTCAGAGAATTCATGTTCTGGAGGAACCTGGGGAGCCAGCCTGTCCCACTTTATTATTCCTCGTGGCCACAGGGGAAACTTTTGTCACATGTGATGCACAAGGCGGGGCGCGGGTCTGGAAACGGGCAGAAGGCTTGCCTGCTCGTAGCCATAAGGCCGCTGCTGCTGGGCGGACGGGCCCGTCTGAGATGCTCGGTAGCTTCCATACTGCTGGCCTTGTCCCTGCTGGTAGCTGGAGTACTGTGAGGGGGCGCCCTGGGCGGGCCCTGGAACACAGCAGGATCCATGAGATCACCCTCCCAACGCCCTCTCCCACAGGTCCTCCCAAGCCCCTGAGACATGCATTCGTGCTAATTCAGTCATGTCTGACTCTTTGCAACCCCATGGAATGTAGCCCGCCAGGCTCCTCTGTTCATGGGATTCTCCAGGCAAGAA